TCCACCTCTGTAGATGATTCCAGTCTTGGTCGTCTCCCCTCCCCCCCCGGCGGCCGCTCTTTTGCCCTTCAAGGGCACTCCCACGTTATCCACGAAGGCGAAGACGCTCAACCACAAGCACAGGAAGGCGGTGATACCACAGTAGTCGTCCGTGGGGTCTGGGGGGAGGTATTGGATGTAGACCAAGAAATAGCCTTTCCCCGGCGCGGCTCCGCTCGCAGCACTAGTGGCGTTGAGATGGTGGTAGCTAACAAGCAGCTAGCTAAGAGAGTAAGAAGCTAGTAAGCTAGTGGCAATGGGAAGCTATTAGTATATGGACGCAGACTTAACCTTTTGCTGATGAAAGATGGTGCAAGAGAGAAGTTTTGTTGGTGTAGTAGCAGGGCTCAAGAAGCAGAAAGAAGAGGAACAATGTCTTTTCGTTGAACACTGCAAGAAACCCACCGATTCCCATCCCACCCTTTCTTCTCACACTCCCCATACTCTGACCCCCCCCACTCTGATCCCACAATTTTGCCAGTACTACTGCCATCGTAACTTCCCTCCGGCCTAGAGTGGCCCACAGGAAGAGAAGCGTGAAGCAAATGATGTACAAGACCCCTCGCACCCCACGACCCGCGTCCATCTGTCCGAACCTCGGCTGGACGCAGCGGGTGGACCAAACTCAGCGGAATGTAGACGCTTAGAAGTATAGTGACGTCTATATAGTTTTGATGAATGGTGACTTTAGTTTGGATGGCTATAGGATCGTCTTCACAACAAAGCAGAACCTCACAAAACACATCAAAACACCAAACGACCGAAGGTGTCGTCTTGCCCAGCCACTCGCTTTGCCCATTCTCCACCTCCGGCATCTGCGCCATGAGAAACAGCGACTGACGATGGTGTGGCGACAACAGACAGAGCCCACTTAAAATCGGCTGCAGATGCAGATGCAGCGAGACCGCCGCGATGCCCCACAGCGAGAGGGACTTCACGTGACGTCTGCGTCGGACAGGTGGCGCCGGACTTCGGAACTGGTCCCCTGCCTTCCCCGACCAACCCCGAGTCACCGGCCTTCCACCTGGCCTTCCCCGTGTGAACCTGTCGCTCCTGTCGGTCCCGTCGGATCACCCCCGTAGGTCGACGACGGTCTCCTTCGACCGAGGTGCCCCTCTTGACCTTCTCCAGCAGGAACGAGGCCAGGTCCGACGCTTCGAAACGCACCTGTTGACTCGACCTGGGCAGGTGAGTTCGGACGCGTGCGGGAGCGGGACCTGGGTGGCTTGGTGGGAGATGACGTGGTGGAGGAGTGGATGGAGGAAGTGGATGGAGACAGGGAGACGAGTGAAGAGACTTGGCATGGGCAACAGGCCATGAAGAATTCGATCTCCACCTGAGTCTGTGCAACGAAAACGAATGTCCCGCCCAAGTTTGGATTGGTTTTTCTTATGTCGTTTTTCTTGGTCCATCATGAAAGCCAACGAACTCCCGTGGCAGCCAACGAACTCTCTACACTGGCGCCTGACGCCACAGATCGAACCACGAAAAACACCATGCACGGATCGGCCTGGCGATTCAGATCTTAACAAGGAAAAACACACCAAAAACCATGGAGAGAACACCAAAACACAAAAAAAATATAAAACATGCACAGAAAAGTGAGACATGCACCACTTTTTGGCACTTCATCAGCTGTTGGTCTTGCCAGAAGCCTGGAGAAATTCGCAATGAAGACACAACAACAATGAAGAAGCTCATAGAACATCGATTACCCTTAGGCCCTAAGAGAAACGACAAAGGGGCATGCTCCCAACACCCATGTCTACAATGGGCCTCTGTTGCTGAGACCCCCCCGTTTTGTCCATCGCATCTGAAAAGCTTCCCCATCCCTGTAGGCTTCGAAAAGCAAATGAAAGAAAAGGTTGACCTGGTCTTTTTTGTAGTAAGATTATGTAAGTTAATGATCCCTCATTCAATATTGATGCTTGGAAGCCTGGGGACACATCCCAGGGTCAACCCTACTTAGCTCCGATCCTTCGTTGCGCTGCCGGGAGACATCTCCTTGGGCAGCTCCATGATCGGCGCCTGACCACCGTGTCAGGGAGCACAGCTGCTTCGCGCGCGTGCTCTCGCGCGGAATCCGCGCGAAGCCGAAGCCTTTTTGGCGCCGAAAAGCCATGCCTGTCACGTTCCCGGCATTTCCTGCTGCCAACCGCGTACTGACTCTAGAACCCATGAGTCAGTAGCCAGAGTGAGGTCAGTAGAGTCCCAGTCGCTCGCTGTAGTGAGTTCACCTGCCCAGTCTGTGGCAGTGCCTCCATGGCTTTCTGCATGAAAGCCTTCTTCTTTTGCGCCCACTTCTCTGCCGAGCTTTCCCCAGTGAACCTGCAGTGGGGCCAGAGGATGGATTCTGCTGCCAGGGTAAGCCATCTGTGTCACCTAAACCCAGAAAGTTTCAGGAATTCCATCATCCGGACGGCGAACTATAAATCATCAAGATTACGTCCATACTATCATCGTGCATCATATTCATCTGGAAGCTGGTTTCGAAAAAAAGCTTCTACCTCAACTCATGAGTTGGGTGCTCCTTCTCTTTCACCAAAAGCTCCCCTTTTTTTCTCCCTCCCTTTCACTCCCCTCCCAAGCGACTTCGCTGCATCCACCATGGTGTGACGAGACTTCACCTCGGCGCACCGAGGTCGAACGGAAGTCGAACGGAGAAGAAGGTGGAAGGGGCCGGTGGGCCTACTGCCAGGACCCCCCTTAGCCTAAGGGGTGTCTCTAATTATAGCTCCTTAGATCGTGATAAAAGGGGTATCCATTCACCACCCCTGACTGGGGGATCCCTGGTATGAGGTGTGTCTTGTGTCCGTCCGAGCACGTTTCTTCCTAATGCCACGTGTTTCGCAGCGCCACTTTTCGCCTCAATCCTCCTTCTCTTCCCATCCCAAGTTCTTTCACTCCAACTAACCAACCAACTGACCCGCAAACAAAGACCGCGATCTTCGACCACTTTCGCTTTCGCGATCAGGCTGCTCCATTGGAGGTCCACCACACATCCACCACGGCGATCTTCGCGGCATCTTGCCCGGTCTTTACGATCAGCGAGTCCGCCACCACCTGGCTGGACGTCTGGTCGTCTGGTCCGTGTGTTGTTTTTGGAGTCGATCCAAAAACATGCCAAAACGGCCGACCCTAAAACCAATTTTGCAAGAAGGTGAGGGGCTAATAGGTGAGGAATTTACCATATTTCCCTCCAATTTGGGTGAGGCATAAGAAGCCTGAACCCTGACCCAAACGCCTGCACCCGTGATGCAAGTTAGGCGCTCGGTATGCGCAATCCGGGGGGGTGGGTGATCTACTGGGCTCTGTAAACCCACCTAGCGTCCCATAGACTGCAATTAGCTGTTGATCCTGAAGAAAGCTGAATCCTGCAGGTTGCTTAAGCAAGGAATAGATCGAAATCATCATGGAATCGGAAAACCGCCTTGTTTGTAGGGGAAAATGGGGAAACCAAGACTCCAAGACACCCATATTTTTCACTTGGAATGTGGAGAAACGACTGCGAGACTGCAAGACCATGCTCAGTCAAGTACACAGATCTGGAGCCGAAACTGCCCGATCTACATCCCCTCTTACATCCCTCACATCTCAGCCATGTCACTCATGGCATAGGACATGCGCGTATCAAACCCCCAAAAAACGAATGCCGGAAACGGCGCTGCCCCAGGGTCAAAAAAAGATTGCCCCACCTCTTCGAAGACCTCGTGTTCATGGCCTCCCAAGATCACGGGTGCTTTGCCGCTCATGGTCTCGTGCATCTCGAACTGCTCCTGAACATCGGGTTAACCTGGGTGCCTTCGTGGTCCGCTTAGCAAGTCGGCATCTGCGGCACTGCATGATGCCTACTTGTCTTCACCAGAACCAAAGACCATAATGGATGATTTCCACAGTCCCAACCTCCCACTTGCTACGTAAAGGATCTCAAGTGCCATATTGGAGCATCAATTTGGGGTTGACTATGCCGGACGTTCAGACCTGCCGAGGGTGGGACCTAGTGCTGAGTACGTAAGTGGTGGACTAGTAGCTTCCTTCCCTAGAAGTCGAACCACCATTGTTTGGATAGCCCTTACCAAACAACCATTGTTTTACTATGGTTTTACACTACAAAACCAGATCAACCATTTAAAATGGTGATTGACTTCCAGGGTTTTTGTTACTAGTAGCGATGCCCTTAGTTACCTAGTAGCGATGCCCTTAGTTAGTTATAGCTTGTGTTTTTCTGCTAGAAAGTTTGGTGTTCTCGCCTTCGAGCGCTTTTGGGTGTCCTGCTACCAGTACCATCCACCCACACTGCCCACGGCCGCACGGAGTAGATACTCACACTGCTCCCCAGCTTGGAACACGCCCAAAGAAACCACTCAGATCGCACCCGGAACCTGTCCGGCTTGCACCGTTCGTTTCTTCACATTCCAAGGAGCCGCCAGCAAACGATCATCCTCAATGAGCTGATGGGTCATGGGCACAATGAGGTCGATGTTCACCTTCTTCCGCGCGCAGTCCTGGCCGACACCGCGCAGTCCCGCCGGCCCAGCCGCACCAACACCGAGTCCGAGCGCCGCAGACCCAACGTGCTGCACGCCGACTATCGCGGCCAGGTTCGGCAGCGGTTGCGAGGGAAGGCTTTTGGGGAGGCAGCATATGCTGGCATGGTCGATCCGAGCTCTGGGAGCTCCAAGAGCGGGCGCCATGTCGGAGGCGCTCTCTAGAATCCCACGAAGCCCCTGCCACCCACCTAGGCCATATCTTGAAACCGGACCAACCCAACCAACCAACCAACCAAGCTCTTCTCATTCCCACCCCACACATGGAACACCACACCGCCTCCCAAGCGGCCATGCAGGAGTGCACGAAGTCTTTCATGTCCTCAGGTCCCGGTTTCGGCTGGTGAGAGGGGAACCAGTCCGCCCAAGGCCCAAGAAGGGTGGGGTCGATGGTAGGTCCGCAAGACCAGGTCGCAAGTTCAGCAGGAGCAGGATCATATGATCCCCTCTGATCAATCAACCATTGACCTGCAGGTCAAAGGCCCGTTGTCGGACCCGGACCTCGCTCTTCTTCTCCGAGCGTCCGCGCGTTTTTGCGCTTTCGTGGGGGGCATCTGTGAGGGAGCACGAAGCGTCTGGTTTCAGGCACCGAACAAGTGCCAAGAATGACCACCAAAAGCGTGAAGTCTTTGGGCAGGTACGTTCCAACTTGGATGCATCTATTTCATGTGCTTGAAAAAGGGAGGTCCTGGTTCTCAGCGTTTTTGGACGACAAGGTCCATGTTCTCAGCCTGCTCCCTCCTCCAGCCATCCTTTTGGCCCAAGCACAGGAGTGCTGTCGGCAGGATAGATGGAGGGATCACCGAGGCAAAGGCCAACCATCAGGATCTTCTTGTTCCCCACGTCCACCTCAAGAAACATGCGCGGCCACGCGCTGAATCGCAGAATCGCACCCCCAAAACAAACCTGTCTGGATGGCGATATCTGGCGAAACACAAATAAAGAAACCTTGCTTTTCTCGTGTGACTGGTACTGACCTTTTGCAGCCTTTCTCAGCTTGCATCTCTTAAAGTTGGACCACCGCCCCAAAACACGCCCAGGCATAATTCACATCGTTGGGGGCTATAGGCCGGGGAACACAAGCTATCTGTGACCATTTGCAGGGCAACTTGCAGGGCAATCCCACGAAATCGCATGATCGGATCTTTCATCTCATGCTCACTAACATCAGCACAACTTCTTGTCCTCCTATATGTGAACCATATGGTGAGCCACCAAGGCTGCCCCTGCCGGCGGGAATCCGATGATCACCCCGATGAATCCCATCAGTCCCCACCCCACGAGTCCGCGAAACGACGCCGCGCGCCGTCTGCGGTGGTCCAGCTCAGGCGCCACATCGTAGGTGGGCCAGTCTTCCAATTCCTTGTCCGTGCAATTGGTGTTCAGCAACTTGCCTTGTGAAGCGCAGGTTCAGCGATCTGGTAGAAGCACATCAGTCTCAAAACACCAAGAAAACAAAAACAAAAAAGAGACTTGATTCTAAGCTTTGATCTCCAGCAAGTCCCCATCCCCATCGCAAGAAAAGAAAAAGAAACGATGGCTAAGAAGGCCCAAACAGTAGCCCCAATCCTAGCCGTATGGTGTGTTTTTTCCCGCCACAAACGCGACAAACCACCGGCGGTTTCGTTTCGATCGGCGCCTTTGTAGGCCTTCAACTGTGTCGCCAGTTGCTTCTTGCCCAGGTCGAACCTGAGTGTCGGTGCACAGGTTCTGTGGTGGTCTCGGGAGCTTTTGAAAAAGATCTAACAAATTGAGACACTACCTGGACCCACAAGGGGTGGTTAATAGACACCCCTTGACCTCTAAGGGGCTATCAATAGACACCCCTTAGGGTGTCCTGGTATATAATACTATATGTATCTATATCCTCTCATCGTTGTGATATGATATATGCATACGTATTATGAAGCAATCAAGCTTTTCCACCTTTTCATTCTCCAAGCACTCTCCCTTTCCAAGCCCACAACCCCCCGGTGCTTACGCAGCTCACAAAAAGATCCGAGCTGCTCGTGATTCCCCAAGCAGACATAGTCCAACTGCGCGTAATTCAAGCCGTCCACCATCGTGGTGCCACCATCCTGAGAAAAAAAACAGAGATCGAGACGTCACCAGCCGATCTGGATAGCATTCACCCCCCACCTACCATCCTATAGTGCTATAGTTTCTAGTTCAGCATGTCCAAGACAGAAGCGCTTTTCTCCCGGTCGTCACAGGTCCACGGGTCCACCGACTCGATGTGGTCGGAAGCAGTGGACAGCGGGCTGTCCGTCGGCTGACGGCGGGAGTGCAGATCGCTTCCAACCGCCGAGTTGGGTCGATCTGAAGAAAGCCCTCCCCTCTTTGAATTGGCGTTTTCAGGTCTGGACCCACCCAATCAAGAAGCAAAAGACATGAAAAAGAAGACCGGTGTTTTTACCAACACCCTCAACTAAACTAATCTCATGGCCCAGCATCCAGAGCTGTGAAGAGGCAGGGAGACAAGAAGTCGCCATTCATGTGAGAGGTCACGACGCATTGCAAAGCTTTGCTCTGCTTCTTGGCCTGGCAGGAAGGGTACGAAGGGTACCGTCCATTCGTCCAGCCACCTGCTCTCGTTGTTCTACGACGGCGCGTGAATTCGTCTTCGAGTCTTCTGCTGTGATTCGCTGGGTCTGAGGGTCTTGGCTTAAAGGGGCCAACATGTGTCCTGAGTGACTCGTGTCGGTGAGGCTTTGCGGAAAAGCCATGGATGCTGAAAGTGGCTTCATGGACCTTCTGCAGCCAGTGGTCTAATCGGCTTCGCTGGTGTCGAAACTTCGGCCACCACACCACCGTGTATCACACCGCCATGTATCACACCGCAAAATGTGGGGGGGCGCCTGTCTGATCAAATAATACCTGGATCTTCCAACGACATGCCTGGCATGTCTGCTATTTCATCCATAAAGTCAACCAAATATGGCAAACATATGCCAGGCATGTCGTTGGAAGATCCAGGTATCCATGTCCCCCCTCAAAAACACGAGTCCCGGTGAGGGAACGAACCGCTTCATTCTCCCCTTCGAACCGACCACTGCTCCATCGACCGCTGTGTGAAGCGGCCGCGAGGCTCGGTCCAAGTCGTCCGGCGCCTCCATCACAGCGGCCGCGAAGCGAGGGTAGTTGTCCAACATGTAGACCTGACCGTCGAATCCGCTGGGTTTCGAGGACGCGCAATCGGAGACGGTCCCAGCACTCGAATTAGATCTGATCCAGCTATACCATGATCCACCCATTGTTAAGATGTTTTTTGCCCGGGTTGGATCAGCTATGAATCGTCTCAGTTCGTATCAACCATGGGCACTTCTTCCGGTACCTGTCAAAAAAAGAGTCATGTCATGTCGACCATAGGATGTCATAGGTCACTGATGTTCCTGAGAAACCGATTCTCGGACGACACGTCGACGCTTGGAGAATCCTCTCCACCCAGGGAGATGCAGGTGCCTAGCTGGGCGGCTGGGCCGGTGCTAGAGAGGGGGGAAAACACAACTCAACTTTGGTCCGGAAAGAAGCCAATGGGAACTGATCAATTTCGGAGCACCACTAGACTCCCGTTCGACCATGAAAGAAGAGGTTGACCTGGTTTTTGTCGTGTCAAGTCATTAGTTGATTCGGCCCAAGCCTATTTTCAAAAGGGTGGATTGGTTGGAAGCCTAGCCTAGCAACTTCTCCGAGTCTGGGGCATCATTGGGATCTCCGGGGAAGGGAAGGGCGGCGCATGGCCTTCCGTGCGGGACGGTTTCAGCTCCGAGGAGCATCGTTCACGGAGAGCATCCGAAGGAAGGGCCCCACGGCTCCTGGCGCGGTCTTGTGTTGGCCAACCCGATGAACGGGCTATTTGAGATTGGCAGAACAGCACCCCTATGGATCCACATACCGAACCTGAGAAGGTCATTGGAAACTATTATGTTCCTTGAATAACGCCCAAAAGTCCAACTCAGGACTTTATTGTATAAAATCCTACGGGACTGAGGTAATTTCCTTATTTTTTAGTGGCCCAAAGTGCGATGTAAAAAAAAGATAGTTCTTTTTTGCCTTTTAAATTCCTAGGACCAAGGGTTTTCTAAAGTCCTGGGACTGAGGTCGTGACATGTGTATGAAACAAAATTCTGGTTCATACTGAAATGCTGTCATTGACCCTGGCTCATGTTTTTCTGCACAAAAAGAGCTCTACCTTTTTTCCTTTGTGGGATCTTTCGATCGTGTGGTGTACTTCCATTGAGGACCTGCAGAGTTTGTGTGGCGTATTAGTCATTTATAAACAGATTTTGTTAAAATGAAACACTCTCGTGTCTGTGGCATGCTGCAGCCCAACACAATACATCGAGCACGACCGCGAAACACAAGGAACGACCGCGGAGTCCAAGGAATCACTGCGAAACACAAAACACAATATAATCCTGAGCTTGACCCTCAGAGACCTCCAAGTGGAAAAAAACACATCCTTTTATAGAATCCTGCGTCTGACCTAACATGTAGTCTTTCAAGTCAGTCACATCATTATTTATCTAGCTGTTCTGAAGTTCTGGACCAAGGACTTTTGGGGAATTCCGGATAGAAACCCATCCCTGTTATGAAGTCCTGGACGTACGTATGTTTCGGAGAATGGTTTGTACTATTTAGTGGGGTTGGGGTACTGGATTTTTGTAGGCTTGGAGGGCCCAGTCATACCTTCTGAGAAGGTATGTGGATCCATAAGGCGCCATCTCCCAGAAAAATAAAATCAGACTCCGGCCTGTTTGGAACCGGAAGGAGGTGCCCAACTCACCCAGGAGGCACCACCTGGTCCGCCAAACGCCCAACTCACCTCCAGTTCCTCCACAGAACTCACCCACAAATGCCCAACTGGACTGAACAGACCGGAAGACACTCGGCTGGTCCTTCAGTGCCTCCCGGAGGGCCGGGCGGACGCGGCTTCCTCCGGTGCTTCCTTTTCTGTGACACTTTGAAAAGCACTGGTCAACCATGTTTAGGTCAACCATCTGGTCGAAAAAAAAACCACCTACCGGACCCACAAAGCACGTAATCAGGGGACATGGATACCTGGATCTTCCAAACGACATGCCAAATGTTTGCCTTTTGGTTGACTTTTATGGATGAAAAAGCATAAACTTGGCATGTCGTTGGACGATCCAGGTATACAGTCTCACATAAGAAGAAAACAACGAAGTGACCTATCCTGCGAACCCAGGATCCACATGACAGATCAAGCTTCGCCTTCGAAGCCCCAAGCGCCTGACCATTCCAAAGACCTCGTCCCGTCCCGTCCCGTCCACCGTCCGCCGTCCGTCCCCACCGGTGGGTTCATGCGGGCTCCTGGAGGCCGTGCGGGCAGGTTGCCAGCGGCGACCTGCGGCCCGGAGCGGGTGGAGGGCGATGGAAAGCAGTGGAAGAGATCGAGAAGACCGGCAGCGAGGGCGAAGAGAGGCATTGGAGCCTGCTAAGCACTCATGTCATCCTGAAAGCAACGAAGAAGGGAATTGAAGAGATTCTACTGTATAGTCCCTGAAATCATGATGTTTTTGGGGCCCGGGGCGGGACTTCGGCAGAATGGGGTGATTCTGCCAGCATCGGATCGACACGACCTGATACGACCTGATCACGACCCAGTCTGAAGTGGCCGTTGGGACTGGTGTCGCCAACGGACTGGCCGTGGGTCCGACTGGGAGAAAAGGTGTGTCCAAGATACTACGATATCCTACGATCACAGCTACAGGCAAGATCTTGGGATCGCACCCGTCGTGTGAGAGCTAACACGCACTACCTTCCAAGATGTCACATGAGGGTCCCACATGACTTTTCTTCAAGCTGCTTTTGGGCAGCCACAATAAATGACTATAGCCAACCCTGAAACCAACCCCCTAATCAAATGCAGTTGAACCCTAATCAAGTGCAACTCCTTGAACGAGACCTCGGGGTTTCTCCCCCCTCCGCAGACCGTTCCGCCTGGAGTTCTGAAGCATGTGAAACGGAGGCTTGACAACAACCCATGGCGGCGACTCGGTTGCGTGGTTGCGCAGTGAATCGCGACGGAAGGCGTCGGGAGAGAAGAACAGACCCAGGTAAGCAGTGAAGAGATACTGAGATACTTATGAAGAATTCGATGAATGCACCGTTTTCTGATCGTCTCATCTGTAAAATGTGTCCAATGTCTCACATGTCATTGCGGTGTCACCAGAGACCACGATGAAGGAAGAATGCCGAGTGTGCTGTCACTGCCGGCGCGGCGAGGCGGTGAGAATGCGGAGAAGTGGTGGGGCGCGGCGGTGGTCGCCGAGCGCCGGTCCTGAAAGACTGCAGGTCTTGTTCAGCCTCTGGGCATGGAAGATGATACGCTTTGTTTTGATCGTTCGGACCAAGAGCCAGAGCTGATTTGGCCCCTGAACATCCGAGCCGTTATATACCTGGATCTTCCAACTGTGCAATATGTCTGCTTTTTTCATCCATAAAAGTCAACCAAAAGGCAGAAATTTGGCATGTCGTTGGAAGGTAAAGATTGGAAAAGGTGGTTCAAAGAGCTTGTTGTCAGTGGAGGAAGAGGAACATGGATTTGACCATGTGAGCGTGTATGAAAATAAGAAGACTTCCCAGTTGGACCCTTTGGAAGGTTCAGGACATGGTTCGCAGTCGGTCTATCCATGTGTCTCATCCTTCGCCGAAGCCAAAGCCGAATCCTAAAGAAGATGATGCAGTTTTTCCCTCAAACAAGGCCCTATATAGAAGTCCATACTTGTCCTTCGCGATTCGTGAAGTAAAGGAGATGTTCCCGTTCAGGTCCCCAGGTCCATAGCTCCCCGAAAAAGGTCCTATATACCAGGACCCCGGAAAACGTCGGGGTGGTAGACATGGACACCCCGAATCACATCTGTTTTACAGGGGCGATCAAGAACGAAGCCCCTTAGGTCCTGCCTTAGGTAGGCTATTAGGAGTCTTTGACCTCAGACCCATCGGATCGCTGATCCTTTGGAAGAGCATTGCCGGTCGATCGCACAGGTCTGTGGATCCGGGAATGGAATGGTTGAAAGAAAGGAAGTGCCGCTCCTTCAGAGTCTCATTGAATCTGGACGTACATGAAACTCACAACAAAGTGGAAACACGCATGACCGACCCCATGCCACCCAACCCACACCCACGCACACCGCTCCGTGCTTTTTCGAGATGGACGAGGGGGGGAGAACAATGCCCAAACTCTTTCAGGTTAGAGGAACGAGTACGAGACATACCTGGATCTTCCAACGACATGCCTGGCATGTCTGCCATACTCGGTTGACTTTTTGTGGATGAAAAAGCAGACATTTGGCATGTCGTTGGAAGATCCAGGTATGTCTCGTACTCTTTCGGGTTAGAGTCAGAGGTCTCCAGATTCTCGTGCTACGCGACAAGCCGATGCTGCTACGATGGAACCTCTCTTTCGCCGTTCCGCAGCAGTTCTGCTCCAGAGGGAAAACAGCGTCGCCGCTGCCGAGCAAAAACGAGAT